CAGTTACCGAATGTTATACGAAGAGAACAAGATGATCTGGAGGAATATTGGGATGAACAAAAGGATTTATTTATATCAAGATGTGATGAATTGCAAGATAAGGGATCTGGATGGACTTTGAAAAATATAAATTATTTGCGCATTAATATAAACAAATATACACCGTTAAGCGGAAATTCATATGTAGAATTACCCAAGTGGATTAAAGATAAAAAAGCTTGCGTTAATGTTAAAAACAACGATAATAAATGCTTTATGTACAGCGTAATATCATGTTTACATCAAGCAAAAGAACACATAGATAGACTGAATCATTATAATAAGCCGGAATATATAAATGAATTAAATTTTGAAGGAATACATTTTCCTGTCAAAATCCAGGACATACCGAAATTTGAATCACATAATAAAATTAATGTTACCGTGTTTAGTTACGAAGAACAAATATTTTATCCTTTGTATCATAATAATAAGCAAATATATGAAATGAATATCGACTTACTATACTTTGGAAATAAAGATAAAAATCATTATTGTTGGATCAAGAATTTGAGTCGATTGTTGAATGATCAGTTGGAAGTAAATAGAAACAAAAAACATTTCTGTAGAAGATGTTTAAACTACTCCGCTAGAACTGAAGATGCTTTGAAGAAACATCAAAATGTGTGCTTTAGTAATGAACCATGTGTTCCGAACATGCCTGAAGATAATATATTAAAATTTAAAAATATTCAAAGAATGTTAAGACATCCGTATGTAATTTATTCTGATTTTGAATCTATTCTGAAACCTATTCATACATGCGAACCAAATCCTGAATCATCATATACTCATAAAACACAATTTCATATTCCCTGTGGTTATGGATTATACATTAAGAGTGCTTATAATAATATTGATAACCCATTGGAAATTTACAGAGGAGAGGAAAGTGATAAATGTTTTATAAAAAGAATAACTGAATATGCCAGAACAATATATAAGTTATTAAAAGAAAATAAACCCATAAAAGATATCGAACTAGAAGAATATAAAAAAACAAAAATTTGTTATCTTTGTGAAAATGTGTTTTCTATAGAAAACCCAAAAGTAAGAGATCATGATCACTACACTGGAAAATATAGAGGAGCTGCTTGTAGAAAATGCAATTTGAAATATAGACAACCATTGTTTATTCCAATTTTGTTTCATAATTTAAGCGCTTACGATTGTCATTTGTTTATAAAAAAATCTAGGAGAAGATAAAGTCAATTGAAATTAATACCTAATAACGAAGAGAAATATATTTCTTTCAGTAAAATTTTAAGAATGGATGATAATGGATATATCGAACTGAGATTTATCGATTCATTTAGATTTTTAGCAAGTAGCCTAGACAATTTGTCATCTAATCTGGAATCAAGTCAGCTGAGAGAAATAATTAAATACTTTTCAAATCATGAATTAGATGTGTTATTTAGGAAAGAAAAAAGCAAGATAATTAGAAAAGGAATATATCCCTATGAATACATGGATTCTTTTGAGAAATTTTCTGAAACAAAACTTCCATCAATAGATAAATTTTATTCTTCGCTCACAAAAGAAGGAATTTCTCAAGAAGAATTCAAACATGCAGTGAAAGTATGGAAATATTTTAAAATTGAAAACTTGGGTGAATGGCATGATTTATACTTAAAACTAGATGTTTTGCTATTAACTGATGTATTTGAAAATTTTAGAGATTTATGTTTAGAAAAGAGTTATGGACTGGATCCTGTTTGGTATTATACAACTCCGGGGTTAGCTTGGGACTGTATGCTCAAATATACTTCAGTGAAGTTGGAATTATTAACTGATTATGAAATGTATTTGTTTTTTGAAAACGGAATTAGAGGAGGTATTTCACAGTGTAGTAACAGGTATTCGCAGGCAGATGAAAATACTCAGATTATCTATATAGATGCTAATAATCTATATGGATGGGCTTTATCTCAGAGATTACCAGAAAAAAACTTTAAATGGTTGACTTGTGATGAAATTAAAAATGTTGACGGTATACTGTTGTCAGATAGTGATACGGGTTATGTTTTAGAAGTTGATTTAGCATTCCCTATAGACTTGGCTATTCATAACAAATTCAATGACTTGCCTTTGGCTCCGGAAAATAGAATTCAAGTAGAAAAACTACTTTGTCATTTCTATGATAAAAAAAATTATATAATTCATTACAAAACATTAAAACTTTACAAAAGTTTAGGTATTAGAATAACAAAGGTTCACAGAGGTATAAAATTTACTCAGTCAAATTTCATAGCACCATATGTAAAATTTAATACTGAACAAAGACAGAAGGCGAAAAATGATTTTGAAAAAGATTTCTGGAAATTAATGGTTAATGCACCATATGGTAAGTCTATGCAATCTGTTAGAAACCAACAAAATATTAAATTATATTGTGATGAAGAAAAATTACAAAAAGCGATAAACAAACCTAATTTTAAACACAGAACTATATTTAGCAAACACCTGGCAGCAGTTCACAATTATAAAACCAAAGTATTGTTTAATAAACCAATTTACATTGGGCAAGCCGTATTAGATTTATCGAAATTATTAATGTATAACTTCCATTACAATGTAATTAAAAAAGAATTTAATGAAAAAATAAAACTTCTTTATGGAGATACCGACAGTTTCATATATGAGATTAAAATGGCTGATTTCTATGAATTTATGAAAAACAATCCCGACTGTTTTGATACATCTGATTATCCAAAGGACCATCCATTATATTCTGATAAAAATAAGAAAGTAATAGGGAAATTCAAAGATGAATTGAATGGTATTAAGATATTAGAATACATAGGTTTAAGGTCAAAAATGTACAGTTACAGAACTGAAACGTGTGTTTCAAAAAAAAAATAAAAGGTATCAAGAAAGCAGTATTGAAGAAAGAAATAAGTTTTGAAGATTACAAAAATTGCTTATTCAATCAAACTGAATACTTCCATAGACAGAGAGTGATTAGGAGTCATAAGCATGATATTTTTACTGAAGAAGTAAAGAAAAAGTCTCTAAGTTGGAAAGATGATAAAATATACCGTTTACCTAATTCTACAGATACATTAGCTTATGGAACTATTTTTTATTAGCGTTGAAGTAATAAATTAAGAAAACAATAATAACAATTACGATAATAAACGTAAGAATAAATATAATAATTTTTAATTTACGAACTTGTTGAATAAGACTTGAAAACTTTTTTCTGAATTTTGGATATTCTTCATTGAATATATTTAAATTCTTGAATACAGTACTTTCCATTTAATTTACAATTTTTGAGTTTTTTCATTTATTGCTCTCATATTTTTAGTATGTCTTTCAAATATTTTCAGACTTCTTTTCTTTACATCATCGATGTTTGATGGTATTACTACTGTTTGGTTTCTTAATTCTGCTAATTTCTTAGGATCATAATTATTGTAGTTGTCTAATTTATATTCCAATTCATCGATTTTATTATTAGCGGATTCTAGTTCACAGTCTGTCATAATTAATTGTTCAAGGAATAAATTAGCTGTTTTTCTTGCAACCGACTATTTTTGCTCCATCTTCTAATCTGTCTATTTCAGTAATAATAGGTTTTAAATCTTTTTTCCATTTTTCTTTCTCATCGTTGGGAATGTATGAAACTAGTTTGTCCATTTATGACTGAAAAGTTTCTAAAGATTTACTAATTAATTTATCTGCTTCTTCATCTAAACTTATATTTTTACGACTACCTGCTTTATGTTCTACATTATCGAATATTTTTTTATTTTTTATTTTATTTTTTCTCTCTTTTGTTCCCAATTGTTCCGATTTGTTCTCTTTTGTCCCGGATTGTTCCCGTTTGTTCTCATTTGTTCTCGTTTTACATGCAATCTTAATTCCAACTGAATTTAGTCCCATATTTAGGGAATTTCTAGGAATATTTTTAGATTTGCAAAATTCTGTCTTTGTTAGTTTTTTATTTACAGTCGAATTGAGATATTCAATAGCAAAATTACGATTTCTCATTTGAGTTACTTGATTGATATTTTTTGGTATATTTAGCTTTTTATCAAGAGTAAAAGATTTGTAACTATTTTTAAATTGTTGGAGTTCAGATGGCTGTCTTGTTTTTAATGGTGTGTAATACTCTGCAACAATTTTACTTTCTTTATTTGTCATTCTTTAATTTATTAGAAAATTTATCTGAATTAGAAATTAGAAAAAATGACAACAAAGAAATGTTAGTTTTTTACACCTGCTAGAGTACAAGCCACCAAGCTCACAGCAATTGTGGAGTTTATTTTTACGCTATAGCCATACTTACCTTACTTGATTAATATTCTTTGCTACCTCTATACCTAAGGGTATACCTGTTTAATTTTTTCTGCTCTGTATAAAAGATTTAAAACTTTTTGAATTGTTGGTGTGTTTGTTAACAGTGTGTCATACTCCGCGACAATCTTGCTTTCTTTGATATTGCCCACATTTATAATTTATTTTTTACAATTTGGGTTGTCAAACGCCCTCCATTTTACCACTAGTGTTAAAAATGACATTATGTTATCACAATTTTTAAAAAACGTAGAAAATCATTAATATAATCAAGGAATCAAATTTATTCTATCTTCTTGGTGATTCATCAGATTCGTATAATTCCTTTGATTTTAAGAATCTTCAGAATCACCCGTATCAAAAAAACTTGTATGCAATACGTTGCACAATGGCTGCTTTTTTTGCGCATAAAGAGCTATTACAAATTCTATTTTGAATTTTGCCATTAATCCATTGACTCACAATGTCCGTAAAAGTTGCATATTATACTTACTCAAACTTATGAAATTATTACAGATAAATTATAAGTTAAAGGGTTAATTCAAAATGCAACGATTGCTAAAATCCCTCTGGCCTGTCTATCATGCTTCCAATTTGTTTGTATTTTGCTATTTATTGTGACCAACATTAATTCTTGGTTTTCATCATTGTTACAGGTTACATTGTTACTCTTCTTTGGGGGACCATCCGATCAAGAGAAAATGTACCCTTTCACCGGATTTTGAAAATGTTCTGAATTCTGATAACTTTGTTGATAAAAGTGGGTTGATTCTTGCAATTCTTAATTCGAACATTCCTGTGATACTTTGTACAGCACCGCGTCGGTTTGGAAAATCTGTAAACTTAACTATGCTTGAACGATTCTTGGAACTGGAAGTAGATGAAAATGGAATAGAGAAAACAACGGTTTTGGAAGAAAAGGTCAACTATAAACTGTTCAAGTCAGCAAGGTTCAAGTTAAAAGTTATGGACCCGCGGAATAAGAACTTTGTAACAACTCATTTCGGACAATATCCGATTATCACACTAAATTTTCAATGTTCTCGTCCCATCAGAAATCAATCTGATGCAGTGAATGTGTGTAGACGAGCTATACATGAGGCTTTTCAGCGACACAGGTACCTTTACAAATCCACAATGTCACCGTTGGAAGAAGATGAAAAAGATGTTTGCAGACAATGGTGTAACGAATGTGCCTACGATGGAATTCCAGAAATAAAAGTACAGGCGGGGTTGGCACACTTGGCAGTTTATCTGAATAAGTTTCATAAAAAAAAAGTTTTCCTGCTTGTTGACGAGTATGACTCGATTGTTTCAAATGCATTGTACAATCTGGTAGATGCCAAGTTGAAAGTCCTAAGGGAAGTTGTTTCATTCCCCATTGGAGCTATTGGAGATGCTTTAAAACGATTTTCTGAACTCTTTCAAGGAGTGTTTATGACAGGAATTTTAGATATTGCTGGTATGACGATTTCCAGCGTATTGGGTAACGTGTTACGACGACAATTCGGAACCCCCAATCTGTGCCAGGATTACTATGGGTTTTCTGAAGATGAAGTCGATATGCTATTTGATCGGTTTAAAGTAGAGGAGGGGTTGAGGACAAAAGCGAAAGCCAAATATAATGGATACTGGAATGGGGACAAGCAACGACTATATAATCCTCAATCGGTTGTGCGTTTTCTGGAAAATTTACAACTGGGAGAAGATGCTTTGCAAAATTATTGGCAACAATCTGGTTACATCGAGAACATGGATAACCTATTTCAAGAGGCTGTCGTGCGTGACTTGTTGACTACCCTACTACAAAGTGCGATAGATATGCGAGATTTGAAACTGAAACCGTTAGAATTAAGTGATCTGCAATCGTTGCATGGGATATTAGATGATGCGAATTTGGGTTGTGACCAAGACATTATTGTTAGGTTTTTTATATCTCTTGGATACTTAACATATGCTGATTCAAAACTCAAAATACCTAACGGCGAGTTAATTGAGGAATTTACAGAGAGGCTACGAAACTATTTTTTTTTTAAATATGGTATTAACAAAAATTTGTCCAAGGATTGTTCAAAATCATTTTCTAAACTTGTCAGTCTCAGTGAAAAAGATGGCTCATTAACAGAGTTCACTCAAGAATTAGCAAATTTTCAAAATTCTGTAACCCGTCTACTTTAAGAGTCAAAAATTATCCATCCACTAAATGAGGCAACATTACAGAGTATAATTACATTGACATGTACTCACGACGGATTTCTCTTTGGAAATGAAATAATCATCCCAAATTATAGAACCAGAATTGATACAATAATGTATAATGATAAATCTGGGACTTTAACCGAAATAAAATATGGTGAACGAGATACTGCAAAAGATGCAATAAAGCAAGTTTTTGAAAAACGCTACTTCACTGTCTTCACAACGGCGAAATATTTTAATGATCGTCGTACACGTCCTTCTCTTTCTCTTATTATGGGAATTCATGTAGATTCTGAAAATAAAGCATCTGTGATGTGCCTCCGAAAGGAGGATATTAGGGCTGTTCTAGATGATCTCAACATTGCGCCAGGGGAACCGCTAGAAAATCGCATTGCGAAAGCTGTTGATACTATGGGTGAAGAAATCATTAATCTATTTTGCGAAAGAGCAATTCGTGTCTTGTAACATAGCAGAGAAAAAAATGTAATTGCGGCTAATTTTTAGTTTTAATTCAGTATATTTTTAAGTTTAGTAATACTTAATTCAAAGTGTATTTTTAAGGTTAGGGGCAAGTTGATTTTAGTTTCGATCACCTAAATCTGTTTTATTTCGGTTTTGGTTTTGTTTTGAAAATATATTTTCTATAGTTATGGTTATAATAAAACATGAATTACAAAGTTTATATTGTTTTAGTAGAAATGAAAAGCCTCCTTTTTTTTTAATATTGGACTTTTAGTAACTGGAAGCCGATCTGATGGGTTTTAAAGGTTCTTTTGTTACCCAAACCACCTTGGTCAGGAAGTGAAATGCACAATATTCGGGGTCTCTGAAATGGGTTTAATAGATAGTTTTTGATTTTTTTCCTCGGTTTTGAGAGTCTTCCATCGACTTACAGTAATATCGAACAACAATGACCTGTCCTGTGGATTCAGGATTGATGGTCGTGCCGATGATTCTCTTCGATAGATACATACCTATAAATGGTATAAGCTGTCGTGAAAGAGGAAATGCTGTAAAAATAGATCGGATTGTAGAAGAAGAATTTACTAGGTTTTTAACAGTGTCTTAACTGTGCTAGTCTAAACTAGGATATTATGAAAAAACAGATAAAGCAATCCATGTAAACGAAGAAGACGAAGTATGGAAAATAAGCAATATTCATCAATGAATCGGGATTAACGTATATTATTTTATGGGGCACATTTGGTAGAGATAAATTTAGGGAAACCAGAATATGTTACAGACGTTAAGAGATTTTACCAAATCTTATGTTTACGACGCAAGTCATATAAGCAAACAACAATATAAGGAAGATGGACAACGGACTCACCCTGATTGCAACGATCTTCCTCGACGATTGGTCTTGATTGAAGGCACCTGGGCCTTTTGTAGATACGAAGAAAAGGCGCTGGGGCCTCTTGCAGCAACGAAAAATGAAACAACAAACAACAATAACAACGGGCCGCCACGAGATGTTCTCACTTCGACGGTTAGCGAACAACGATGAAAATTCGTTACAAATCTTTTTAAATTTTCCTATCCCAGAGGGCGGCTTTCTTGTGTGGGTGGGGATTATCGGCGGGTGGTAGTTAAGGGTAGGCAATAAGGGGGTGGACAGGAATTGCTGCTTGCCTATCTTTCGCAACCATAAACATATGTACGAAACATACCGCCCACCAAAATACGGATCCAGTATTTTATTTACAAGTTACGCTTGCAATGAGCTACAAATACTAAAATTAACTAAGCAGAAAGGAAGAAAAAGACAAAAAAAAAGAACAACTAAAACTAATATATATATACAATAGGTTTTAAAGATTCGACATTGGTTTTATTGGTTGGGCAACGGACATAATTTGACAAGGGGCCGTTTCATCGTCCCGTGACTGGTTTTAACCGTGGCAACGCGAACGATATGGTCAGTTCCAGGGAATAACTCCACGATGCGACCCATCCTCCATTGCAAGGGAGGCGTATTATCGTCCTTGATGAGGACTACCGTACCTACTTCGACATTGTCTACATGCTTAGAGACTGCCCATTTGCCGCGCTGATACAAGCTATGAAGGTACTCGTTTTTCCACCTACGCCAAAATACTTGTTGCATATGCTGCACTAGTTGCCATCGAGACAACCTTGAAATTTTCAAATGAGATAGGTCGGGGTTTGGAGGCGATGTGAGTGGCTCCATGGTAAGAAAATGACCCGGGGTTAAGGGAGCCAAATCGTTATTACAGAGAGGACGCGAGTTGAGCATTGCCTCAATTTGGATTATCAATGTGTTGAACTCTTCTAGAGACATGATCTGGGTGCCAACTACTCTAGATAGATGGGTCTTAACCGACTTAATCCCACTCTCCCAAATGCCTCCAAAGTGAGGTGCCGCGGGGGGATTAAAAGTCCATTGAATCAACTGTGATTCGGCCGCTGTTCTCATCGTCTTTACAAACTCGCGATTTGCCCCGGAAAAATTGGTCCCACAATCACTAAATATGTGTGTACATCGACCACGGCGACTAACAAAACGACGAAGTGCCGCGATAAATGCATCCGTGGACAAACTAGATGCCACTTCCAAGTGTACCGCCTTGGTGGCGAAGCAGATGAATAAGCACAAATACGCCTTTATCACAGATGCCCCTCTAATCCTAGCAACTGAGACTGAAAAGGGTCCACCGTAATCTACACCAACGCAACTAAAGGGTTTTGCCTCGGATACTCGCATGGCGGGTAGATCGCCCATTTTTGGCTGTGCAGATAAAGGGTGAGCTTTAAAACACCGAACGCAAGAGGACAGCACACGTCGAACTGTACGCCGAGGGGACAGAATCCATACAATTTGACGAGATAAGTACATGGTTGTATTTATGCCACAATGAAAATTATCTTCATGAATTTGACGAATTAACAAATCTGTAAGGTGATGTTTGCTCGGAAGTAAGGCCGGAAATTTAGAAGCCGACGGCAAAGTTGAATGACGAAGCCGCCCACCTACGCGTAAAATTCCCTTCTCGTCCACAAAAGGTGACAAATTTAACAATCTTTTAGAACAGGGCTCTCTTCTTTGAAGCCTTGACAATTCTTGGGCAAAGACAGTTTTTTGAACCTCGCTTATGAGGTACAAAAGTGACTCAAAGAGTTCTGCCGCCGTCAGCGACAATGAAGAACCTTTCTCCTTTCGCACCGCTCTCCGACAGTAAGCAACAATTCTTTGTATTTTCCTAAGCGAGGAAAACCGACAGACCAACGTTTCACCAATAGTAGGCTCTTTGGTTTGAGCAACAAATAGCTCGATCTTGCGAATTTCTAAGTCTGTGTCGACTGACCCAACAGGTGATTCTTGAGGCCAGTACTGTTCGCGAAGTTTCAAGAATGACGGGCCCGCCCACCATAAGGAGCTTGAGACAAAATCCTCCGGCAAGAGCCCGCGTGATGTTACGTCAGCGGGGTTATCGGAAGTCGGTACGTGCCTCCACCAACTAGGTAGTACTCGATCGTGAATGTAAGAAACTCTATTGGCTACAAACACCTTCCAACGACTAGGTGAAGAACGGATCCACGACAACACGATAGACGAATCCGTCCAGGCAAATATGCGACTGAAATTTACTGTGCTTTCCAGTGCCTTTTTAACAAAATCAATCAATTTGGCCAGCAGTACTGCTCCACACAACTCCAGCCTAGGAATGGAGACACATTTCAAAGGCGCGACTTTGGATTTCGCAATCAACAACCGAATTGTTGGTATGCCCTGTGTAATTGTTCTCAGGTAAATTACACAACCGTATCCTCTTTCCGATGCGTCACAAAACCCATGTAACTGACAGTCCGATGTGACAACGAGTGGTACGTGGCGTGGTATCTTTACAGATGATAGAGTGGGAAGTTGCTCTTTTAGATTATTCCACAATTGACTAATCGGTATCGGAACCTCTTGATCCCAGTCAACACCGGCCTTCCAGAGCAACTGTATAATATATTTTGCCAAAAACGAGACAGGACATAAGAATCCGAGAGGATCATAGATCCGAGCAATTTCCGACAGAATGTTCCTTTTTGTGCAAGGTAAATCATTCGGTTTTACGGAGAATGAAAAGTTATCACATGCAGCATCCCATTGTAACCCTAGTACCTTTAAGGCGACTCGCAAGTCCTTATCAAAATTGGACGGTTGTAGTTGCTTGTGGCCCTCGGGAATATCCTCCAACAATTCCACACAATTGCTAGCCCACTTTCTCAGCTCGAAACACGCCGAAGACAATAACTGAATTAACTGTGACTTTAATTCCGTTGCCTCTTCTAGTGACTCAGAACAACAGACAAGATCGTCGACGTAAAGATTTTCTCTCAATGCCTTGGAAGCCAAAGGGAACTGTAAGTGGCCCAGGTCTGCTAAGTGCAGCAGGGTCCGGATAGCCAAAAAAGGGGCAGAAGCAACTCCATACGTAACGGTATTTAACTGGTACGATTGGATTGGGTCCGACGCGTCGAATCGAAAACGGATTAATTGAAAACGTCGATGTTCGGGAGCAATCAAGATTTGTCTGTACATCTGACGAATTTCGCAGGTAAAGGCAACCGGTTTCATCCGAAAAACTAACAATAATTGGGCAATGTCTGCCTGCAGTTTGGGGCCAATGAGAATTGTGTCGTTTAAGGAAATATTATTAGACGCCTTGCAACTGGCCTCGAACACTACGCGAATCTTATTCAGATTCCCTTCGGGTTTGATTATCCCATGATGAGGGATATAAAACGAATCACCCTCAGGGAATTCGTCCGTGAGTAAAGACATGTGATTGGACGTCAAATAATCACGCATGAAGTCCAAATACAGTGCTCGAATGTCGGGTTGTTTACTTAAACGACGTTCAAGAGCAAGAAGTCGTCTATCTGCTATAGCTTTAGAGTCTACAAAACTAGGTACTACGTCGGTTTTAAATGGGAGCGCGACGCCAAATCTACCACCCGGGTCTCGAAAAATACTCTGTCTAAAGATTGCCTCAGCTTGTGAGTCAGATGGTGCAACAATTGTCCTGAATGGGACTTCTTCGACGGACCAAAAATTTTGTACTTCGTCGTTCAATGAGGGCTGGAGCGATACATGTAATGCCTGCATAGATGGTAACGACATGGATTGAATCGGACCCAGCAAAGCCCACCCAAATATAGTTTTAACCATGGCGGGTGTTGCGGTGTGGTCCACCATGTGGTTGCAGACAATCGCCGAATATACGTCTGCCCCCAACAACACATCAATGGAACCCGGTTTGTACCAGCTGGGATCCGCGAGATCCAGCTCCCGAGAGAACTGAGATTGTGATGGGTCTATTGGTAATGCCGGGAGCTTGCCGCAAATACGTGGAAGTACATGGAATTCTAAATCTAGAGTCGGCCGCCGAGATTTACGCGGCCGTATCTGCGTAGATGTGATGTATGATGCATTGGTTATAATTTGGCCTACTCCAGAAATCGATACTGTCGATCTGGTTTTGAGTAGACCCAATTTATTGAGACTGGCACTCTCAATAAAAGACGCCTGGCTACCGGGATCCAACAAAGCGCGCATAGTTTGGAAATTTCCCCATCTATCGCGAATTTCCAACACTATGGTCGCCAACAAGATATTTTTTTTGTAACTCAAGGGACTGACAAGTGAATGAACAATGCAAGAAGTGAGAGACTCTGACGGAGTTCTGTTTGTATCTGCCTCCGTGGTATCAGGTTCCGATGGCGCCTGCGAGGTTTTACGTGATTTAAAATGCAATAACGTATGGTGTCGTCCACCACAATCACGGCAGCACCCCTTTGATGGGCATTTACTCACCGCGTGTTCTTCTTTAAGGCAATTAAAACAAGTCCTAGTAGGTTTTATCAATGAATATCGATCAAAGGGCGACGCTTGTACAAATGTTGGACACTTTACGACGTTGTGAGTTTCGGTGCAAAGCGGACATTTTTTTACTGAGTTCGACGTAACAACAAATGACGCCTTGTTGTGACTTTTAGGGCCACTTAAATTAAACGATTTCAGGCGAGCAACTCCTGTGGGATCCGGACAACAATCTAGTACTTTACAATGCGATTCAATAAAGTTTTCTAGATCCTCGCGAGTTGGAAAATCAATCTTCTGAATCCGACATTCGGCCTCAAAAGCCTTCCTAGTATTCACATCTACCTTATCTAACAGAATGCTAAACCACAAAAAATCTTCTAAATTGTCAGCAATTTTTAAAGCTTCCAAAGCCCCGCGATGCTCTTTGAAACTGTCGAGTACTGAGCGAAGTGCTTTTGCAGACTCCCTTGTTAGCTTTGGGATGGACATAATCCCGTGAAAAAATTGAGCTGCCAGTTTGCGTTTGTCGTCATACCGATCGGTTAGAATTTTATATGCTATCGGATAATTATCCTCTGATAATGTTAACGACTTTATCAGATTTAATGCTTCACCGGACAGGCAACTAAGCAAATACTGAAATTTGTCAACGGGGGGTAAGGATTCGTTATTGTGAATTGCCGTATTAAACGTTTGAATGAACGGGTACCATTTCACAAAATCGCCGTCGAAGTTTCGCAACGAGATTTTTGGTAAACGAATATTATTTTGTCTCGTTTGACTATGATCACTAGGAGTGGGAGTATTCAATGCCGAGGGCGCGGGAAAAAGTTCGCCATATGCGACTCCGGTTTCACAATACAATCGATCAAATTCTTTCCTCACCGCATCTTCGCTTTCAAAATCCGGTTCGGTTAAGCTAGATAGGCAAGAAATAACCGCCGCGTAATATTTTCGAAAATCCTGTACAACTTCCTCAACGCGTTGGTACCGGAATGAAAATAAACCCTTGAGCGTAGTTTGCACTAACGCGGAAGAGGCTACGTCGTGGGTCTCTACCATTTGATTATACGCAAGGGCTCGCATTGCTCTAGCCTCCTTCAGTTTTACAGCCATTACAAATCTTACAGATCTTTTTCAACACAAAGCAAATTTTACGAACACGTGTTCCGTTTCCGTTAGCACCCTCGTTCAAGGTCAAGCAACCCTACCAATAAAACCAATTCTACTGCACAAAGAAATGAGCGCAAAAGTGTGCACGCGAAATATATGAACAGCTTTTGCAATGTACCACGAAACAAAACACTGTAAACCATGAGCTAATTAAACTATCCGGCTCGAAGGACCATATGTTTACGACGCAAGTCATATAAGCAAACAACAATATAAGGAAGATGGACAACGGACTCACCCTGATTGCAACGATCTTCCTCGACGATTGGCCTTGATTGAAGGCACCTGGGCCTTTTGTAGATACGAAGAAAAGGCGCTGGGGCCTCTTGCAGCAACGAAAAATGAAACAACAAACAACAATAACAACGGGCCGCCACGAGATGTTCTCACTTCGACGGTTAGCGACCAACGATGAAAATTCGTTACAAATCTTTTTAAATTTTCCTCTCCCAGAGGGCGGCTTTCTTGTGTGGGTGGGGATTATCGGCGGGTGGTAGTTAAGGGTAGGCAATAAGGGGGTGGACAGGAATTGCTGCTTGCCTATCTTTCGCAACCATAAACATATGTACGAAACATCTTATTAGATGACAAACTTGGTAATATAGTCAGAGATATATAGTTTTAATTTCTTTAATTTTTGTTTAACAATATTTTTTATTCCAATTTTAGACCTGTTCAATTTTTTATTTTATTTTACCAGTTATTATCCTGATCCATGAATGAAAAGCCATTTTGGGGTAAATTTTGTAAGTGCTCTAACGTCCTGATCCAGGAATAAAAATCCATTTGGAGGGTTCGAAAACCTCATAAATTTGAATAAGTTTTTTGTCTCTTTTTCAATGATTTGTGCATGTGCCAATTGGCTTGGTCCAGAAATAAAAAGCTATTTTGGGATGTCTAAAAACAACGGATTTTGTAAGGTTTTAAATGGTTTTATCATGTGTCCAATTTCTGATGGTCTATAGATTTTTGGGGCGCAGAAAAATTGATGATTTTAGGTCTTTTTCGATTGTTTACTTTTGAGGAAACAGCGGAATTTGTAAGATTCTCCCCAGTTTTTAAAACGCCAAATGTCCCGGTACCAACTCTCCTTGATTTGGTGTTGTTTTTCCCTTTTTTTTTGCATGCGCCAAATGGTTTGGTCCAGAAATAAAAAGCCATCTACAGATATTTGACTACTTTTGGGGTGCATAAAAATTAATGCTTTTTGAGAGGTTTTAGCCCTTTATCGGTTGTTTGCTTTTGGGCAAACAGCTAAATTTGTAGGATTCTGCCGTGATTTTTAAGACGCCAAATGACCTGGTCCAGAAATAGAAAGCCATTTTGGGGTGTTTAAAAACAAGGCATTTTCTAAGTTTTTTGTAGAATTTTACCTTGTTTTTTCGTGTGCCCAATTTTTGGTGGTCTGCAGATATTTGGGTACTTTTGGGGTGGATAAAAAAATTAATGCTTTTTGAGAGGTTTTATGCCTTATTCGGTTGTTTGCTTTTGAGAAAACAGCTAAATTTGTAAGATTCAACCCTGATTTTTAACACGCCAAATGCCATGGTCCAGAAGTAACATTTTATAGTCTACTAAGTTGCCTTGAAATTTACAGTTGTAAATTGTCTCAATATTCGACTTTGTAAACAAAATTTGATTTTAGATAACTGTACAAAAGGCGAGAATCGTTTAACTTGCTCGTTGACCCAGAATATCTAGTTCTACCAAGCACTTTTTAGTTTAACTATCTGTTTATGTTTTGTTTTCGTATTCTTGTTGTATTTAGCAAAACCATTGAGTTTTGAGAAGTCAACTCGTATAGAACGAAGAAAACGAAGACAGTGTGGATGAAATCAACAAAGAACTTCAATATGCTTCCTTGTGTGAATATAACATGTGATCAATAAAAATCGTCATCTAGTTGGAATTGTAGATTTAACTGTCTTTATTACTTCCCTTTGTGACGAGAAGAGGACGGGTTGAAACTTGTTCGTGGAGTGCCAACCTGAGGACGTTTTTTTGTTGATGTATATAAAACTGTAACAAAAATAATAATTAATTCTCTATACCAGTACCCGTCTTTTGGAATCTTCACAAGGTGATTCCGTACAGTAAAATCGACGTTTTATTATTATTTACACTCCCAGAGTAAACTAAGTAATTAAAATAATTAAACTAACTAAATTTAGTTCAAAAAGATGACAGCGTAGCGCTGTTGATATATATTGATTATTTCTTGAAATTTTCATCATTATGGCCATGGCAATATGTTTATAGTAATATGATGAACGAGAACGATGACGAAGAAAATGATAAAGATGATATTAGTATCGGGAATAGTTAAAACGAAAACGATAGATATATACAAATAGTGTAGAGGAATTGTCAACCGAGGACGCTTCAAAGCAAGAAAATAAGGATATAAAGACTAAAAAAAAAGACTAAAGACAAACACTTTCAGATTGCATTGGACAAAAAAAAAATTAATAAGCAAGTCAGGAAAGGTCTAAAAATTAATTATAATTACATAGAGCAAAACAGCTTGCACGTGAATTGGACGGTTTGGAAAAAGAAATAAAATCAGCTAAATTATGCCGGCTGTTTCACCTAAGCTTTTCAGTGCTCATATCTCATTTATTTTTCGGCCGGTTTTTTAAAAATTTTGTATTTATGTTTATTGAAGGATGCAAATTCCATTTTATATACAAAATTTGTTGTAATCATGAATTTTAAATCATTTCACGTGAGTTATTTGAATATTTTGAAGAAAATAAAATATTACGTTGAAATATTCGGATAATCTTCGGAAAAGTTTATCCCTTTATGAGAAATCTGCTCTTGACGTGGCTGAAACAAAAATTTAATTAATGCGTTGAAAATGAACTTACCATCAAAACATTTGCATGTTTTGTTGTTAAAGTTTTTGGTTAACCTTAACGAAACAACTAATTTTTTCGTACTTTTGTCACTATTGATGTCTCAACTGTGTGCTTATTTTAAAATGCCTGAAATTTAAATTTTTTTGAGAAAAGAGATTATCTATGTGTATGGAGCATGTCGCAGGATATATCGAATTCCTCGAATGCTGAAGCAACGGTTTCCGGGAGAAAATCTCATAAAATTGAGAATTAAATATGTACTTAATTTATTACAAGGAATACTTCTGCAACATTCTCCATAGACTTAGATTATCTTTTTTCTCAAAAAAATTTAAATTTCAGGTATTTTAAAAGAAGCATAAAGTTGAAACTATAAAAGTGACAAAAGTGCGAGAAAATTAGTTGTTCCGTCAGGATTAAGCAAAAATTTTAAGGAAAAAACATGTAAATGTTGTAACGAAGCGAATTTTCGCGGGCCAGAGACCGCGACGCGTACCGCGAGAGCGGCGGAAGAGGATTCTGCCTTGAAGCCTCATAGGCTGAAGAAGTGTTGTGGCTGTTTTGAGAAGAGATTTTGAGAATTAGAGAGAAGTGCAGTTCGACCCTCCGACCACCGTAAGTAGCTTTTTTGGTCGTCTGCCCGTTTGTGTACCGGTTTTTGAATCGTCGCCCCCGAGCGAAAAACCATACCACCGTCACCGGGTTTCTTTTTCGTCACAAGTCGAAAGTGTCCTCGCGCGATTCCCAACGTTTCAAGGTCGCCGCCCAAGAGGAAGGACCGTGCCGGACGTTTAATTCTTTTGTATTTAATTTGTCCTGTAGTTAATTAAGTTTAGCCGTAAAATTTTATTATCTTAGCCGTGTAGCTGGTGGCAGGGAATAAACCTTATTTATTGTGTAAAATATTCCTTGCCGTTTTATTTTACTCTCTTGTTTTCGCGGGCGCTCACCACCTGAGGTCCGTGTCTCCGGCTTGAGAGCAACCCCGGCGCTCCCTCCTCCTCCGAAGGAGCTGGCACGCGAGCGACCGCCGCTCCTGACCGAAGGCGCCACCCCCGGCGGCGTGAAGGTAGCCGCATAAATAAGTTTAGGTCGGCCAAATCAACGACACTACTCAGCCCAAGGCTTGGCACCCAAGTACGCCGCCACCACGGGTTATCGGCGAGATTCCGGACCGTCCGTCCGTCACACCAGAACTTCGTCACAATGTTTTCATGACGAAAGTTGGTTTCAATGCATTAATTAAACCCTTTTTTTCTGTCACTTCAAGAGCAGATTTCTTAAAGAAGAATAAACTGCCCTTAGTTTTCTTCAACGCAATACTTTATTTAAAGGTAATACTTGATTTTCTTCAAAATTTTCACTACCTCACGTGACATAATAGATTTAAAATTCAAGATCACAACTAATAAATTTTTTACATAAACGGAATCTGCATTTCTTAATAAACGCAAATATAAAATTTGAAAAAAATCGACGGAGAAATAAATGAGATATAAGTATTGAAAATCTTAGGTGAAACACCCGGTACAATGAAAATCCACGAAATGTACCTGTTGTTATAAGCATAATATTGAACAAATTAATAAACAGGGTCGGGACACCGCGTGCGGGGTTTGAACTGTAAACATCAAGGCCGAGAGTTTACGTTGACGATTATTGTTGCGAAAATTTGCCTTAAAGCTTAGGGCTACTCTTACAGCAGACGTACAAGTAAGGGAAAACCAAAGATCCCCCACAAACCACCAAATCACTAACAAATCAAATCAATAACTAAAAAGAAAGCTCTAAATAATTGTGTAAATCAGGCTAACCCTGGTTTCACGTTGCTTGCTTCTTCAACTTGCGCAGTTGGTTGTACCTTGTTTTTCTTTCTGCCAATTTTATGTTCAAGAACTTCATCCTTACAAAAGTTCTTTGTTGCACAAAAGCCCGAGTAACTTCCACAGGGATGTCAACATACGTCTTTAGTATTTTTGTAAGACGCGTAACAACACGTTTGTTTATTCTGAGAGATTTAACGATAAACTAGATAATTCTGGATCTTCAATCCCTACATTTTCTACAGGCCCAATATATGGCTTAATGTGTTCTTCTTTGTGCTCACCACATATTATTCACTGGAAGCATGTGTGCAGTTGGTATGTTCTTCCACAATTTCCGGTGACTTACCTAGAGAAGATACTATTAGAAAAAGCAGACAATAATTGTCTAAGTCCTTACCTAGCATTAACATTCGAAGTTAATAAAGGGCATTCAAAGGCGTTGGATGGATGATCATCCAACCTACCTTGCGTCCTTATCTGACTAAACAAGTTTTCCAAAGTATCTTGGTTCACTTTACTTGTTAATATGAAGTTTTTCGTACCATTTTTAATTATGTCAGACATTAAATTTTTTATGGAGTTGATGGACATCAAAATTGCTTTTTGAAAAACTTCCATCGAACGGTTCCCTACACAACATATAGTGGTCATCATTTGAATGAAACATATCGTCCAATATTTGAATTTGGTAATCCACATTTTTATACGGTTTTCTTGTACGTAGCGGTGCTAGCAAATTTCGTGAATTCATTAGGTCAAACCACCTATTTATTACTTCAATAAATTTGGACAGATTTTCTGCTTCTTCACTTGTATCATATCTCAATAAGGCAGTAGCAGCTGTATGTGAATACAACTGTGATGCCAAAGAAACATTTTGCCTTTCAATCCCTGTGCAATTCAAATGTATCTTCTGTAACTTATATACAGATGATATATCTAAGTCAGAACTTTGATCAACAAGTTTTTCCAGTGGAAGTTTATTAACAATACTTCCATCTTCAAAATTGGAATCCTAAAAAAGAAGGTTATATAAAAAATTACTATAAACATATTTGTTTTACCAGAGTTAATAAGCCAGTTCCGTACTAGTTTAAGGAAATGTGGTGCATCTGCAAATACGTGAATGCGATTTTCTAAATCTTCTACTTCAAAATATGGCTGTTCAAATGAAATATTTAAATCTCTCCATACACCTTGGTTTGAGTACCACAATCGGTTACAATGGCTACCACATGATAGTTTCTGTGGTGGAGAGCAATAATTATTTGTTGCAATAAATTGCACATTTTTTTCGAACTGGCAGTGCCAACAAAGGGAAATCTCCTGGAGGACCTTCAGTATCTCAGGAAGTTGTTGATGACATGAGTCGACTCTAGCAGAATCCGCAAACGTCTTTGGCAAGATTGTCTCAGGGGTCGGGAGTTTCTGTTACAACATGAAATTGAACAGTGGGTTCAAAGTATTGAAAGAATGTTTCAGAACAATTTTGAAAATAAGAAAAAAAGTAAACATGTGGCTTGAACAAAATAATGAATATTTTCAACAGTTACTGTGGTGTTTAACCACAATAAATTTGTTTATTTTTATTATAATGAATCAGTTTTATTTCTTAATAAGATATGAAGCATTTAGGCAACCAGCTATATAGATGCGTGTAGTGTCGTGAATCTTTGGGTATTTAGTAAAATCCGCATAAAATAGTAGGCGGCACGCTTCCATGACCTACTTCGAGCCTATAATCATTTATAGAAACCCTGTATAAATATGTTAGTTTGTAGTGGAGTAATTAATAAGTAATGTGTGAAAGAGAGTGTGAATGATTAGAGTAGGGATTAATGTAGATGTAAGCAATAATGTATGTAATAAAATAAGACTAATAAAAAAGGTATTAAGCAGAGAGTAAGAAGTAAGTAAGCAGTAAGTGTCTAGGCAACCAAGCGGTGTAAGAGAGAAGAATAACAAAGATATGTAGTAGTTAAGTGGTGAGTTTCAATAGTGCGTAATCTGGCTAAGCTGCCTACCCCCGGCAAGCACTACATGGCGATCCTGCCAGAGCACTACATGGCGACCCTGCCAGCTACCTATTGGAAAAAATAACGTGGTCACCGGATAAAAAATGGGAAAATCACAGTCAAAGGAGGAGCATGGAATGGACAATACTGGGACTCGCAGGGGTGATTAGTTGCGTTATTGTGTTGTTTTGCGTCAAGAAGATGAAACAGTACCTGCGACGGATAGTACAACAGGAAATTCGGCGGAACGACCTACGAAGATCCAGACAGGTAGAGACAACCGAGGAATACATTCATCATCTTTGCAGACGACCTTCGCTGGATGTTAGTTAAGTGTCTGTGCGTTGTTTTCGTCAGTGCAGTGAAATATGGCCTTTTAATAAAATTTTGTGTATTTGTAAACTTGGTGCAGGTGAAGAACACGGAATTAATGTATATTGACACAAGCGGATATGTCGTAATCAAAACGCAGCAAGTTTTCAGTTATGAACTTTGATAGGACATCGATACACGATACAGGAAAAGCCACCGTAAGCGAAGTGGGTATATTGTATTTTGCTGAATTTTATATTCGCAATAGAAATAAGTAGTCATTTCCCGGATGATCAATGTTAAGAGTCAGCTATTTGTTTCAAGTTTGATTTCTAATGTAATTTTAGATGGTAGCAATACAGGAAATCTATGACGAATTGAAAAGTATTAGGACATAGGTATTTAGTTAAAATAGGGAGTGACCGGCGCAATAAGGGTGAATGTTTGGTTAGAAAAGTAGAGGAAGCCAAAATAGTATATTTACAATTACAAACAGTTATAACGCACTTTGATAAAGATTTGAATTTGTATACTGAGGAAGAAGTTGAACAGTTTAAAAAATCCGTAGCTGCCGTTAATAAGGTATACCACGAAATTTTAAGTTTTGTGAAAGAAAAAAGCACCGATTTTCTCAAAATGGCTTTCGATCTCAAAGTAGCTTGCAATCTGTTGCCAATAATGAATGGTAAAGAAGATGTCACTTTGCAACTTTTAGATGCCATTGAATTATACGATACCATGTTGGATACAAATAATAAAACAAATTTAATCAATTTTGTTTTAAAAACTCGTTTGTCTCCAAGCGCAAAAATTAGGCTGAATACCTTCGTAAAGGTGCACAACATTGTCTTGAGGAATATTGTCCCATTCGTCCATAAGAACTGCTTATTATATAACTATATGTCTTAAAATTATTGCGCTATGTTGTGGCTATATTATTGATTGCATAAATAAGATGATTAATGTTTTTTTTTTAATCTGAATATAAAAATTATGAGACTTTCTCAGTAAAGATAAAACGCATTAACTGGATTATGTTATATAAATTTGCCCCATTATACGACACAATTTTGTTTATTTCTGTTAGAAGCCACCACTGATCCGGAAAATGACCGGCATTCAGGCAAGACTTCTATAGTTACAGGTACCAAGACTATTATGTGATTACTGGTTAGAAGGGTCCCAACTTTCCACACTATTTTCACATTTTAATGCGAAATATGCAACCAACGTTGCACTAATAAATTCGTGTATGGCTAAATAACAAATTTATTATTTTGTTACATTTTTAACGGCATACACAAACGGATTTCGAGTTACAATAACCTCCTGTCCTCCCCAGAGCTAGGCAATGAGCACCACAAGCAGCACTATTCAGCTTCGTTCCTGCGATTTCGAAACCGAGAACGTCGCAGGTGAACCTTCTGACACGAACGTGACCACCTAGAGATTTTTTAATTATTTATTATTATTATTATTATTATTTTATTTCAAATGTGTAAATTTACCTTGTTGAGTGGGTTCAACCACATGCAACTCTTCTTCTTGAACTGGCAGCGAACTAACTTGGCAGCTACACACAAAGGCAAAAATTGCAAGAACGAAGGAGAGTGTTAACTTGTTCATCGTGGTGTACTGTAGATTGCGGTGTTGATACTACTGCAACAAGAAGTCAGAGACTGTTTTATATAGATGAATTAGGGGATTTCTTTCATCCCGTCGCGATACGCGAGAGAATATCTTAGTCGGTTTTTCCTAATCACCAGTCCCAAGGAGAAATACTACAATTGATAAGTGTTATCAAAGTTCACTTTCTTTGAAATGAATGCAACTGAATGCTTACAAATCAAAAGGTAAATGTGGATATTAAATGCACTTTTCGCTTAAAAAAAAATATATTTAAAGGGTTTATTCAATTTTAACCGATTCCACCAATATTAGCACAAAATTGCGATCACCTGACATTAAGTTTCCATGCACTCAAACTGGATTTGGTGAGATACGCAGCCAGCTTTGTACTAATAATATAACATGGGAATTAAATTACATATTTATTATGTATTAAGGGCATAATTAGGAGATTATGGTATGGGGTGTGTTTAAAGCCCAACGAAGGAGAGCTTTTAATTTCCCGAGGGCATTATTATTATTTAATTATGCCCTTGGCATGTACATACAAAGTAAAAAAAAATGAGTAAGTATTTAGTTCCGGTAAGAGTTTATGAATTGTGCCCATTTGAACATTATTAGTCCTGTGTTATTAAACATTTTTTTCTCAAAATAGAAATTAGAGAAGCGCAGAATGTTTACTTAAGAGACAGTTCAGAAGAATTTGAACCTGCTCAGGGAACCTGATTACTGATTAGTAATTACTAATTACTCATAAATAGAACGAGTTGTTTATGAAAGAATATGACAAGTTTTTTGAGTGGCGACATTTCGAAAATTTGATCAGCAATTGCGTTGCAAAATTCGTGATGCCATCCTTGGCTCAAATTGTAAGTAACTGTATTTAAAATTATTATACAGGCGTTCATTTAATCCATTCACGCCTGACAATTTTTCCATAGGCAACATATTATACACCCCAGAGACGACTTCGTCCAATTATTTTTTTTTTAATAAACAATTATAGCAATTACAGAAAAAAGTGACAAAGATGTTAATACCAGATAATGACAAAATTGAAAAGATTAATACTCAATTTATTAATGGATCAGATTACAACGAAAACAAATTTATAATAAATGTTCAAAATGCCTGCTTCCACTATCTTCACAAAGTCCTATCCTACGTTCAAAATTTCTACGAACTATGTCTAACATGTCGGGAGCTGTAGATCTGTATGACGCTATTATCCTTTCACGTAAGTTGTTTTCATTTTCGATTGAGACACTATAAACGTCATTTTTTCACCTTTCTCCAAAAAAAAAAAATCTAATGGTGTTAGATCAGGGCGCCATGCAGGCCAAGCGTACTCTTCTTCTCCAGCAATAAGTCTTGGTCCAAACGCTCTTATTATTTAAAAATAATGATTAATCAAAGCTGTTTATTACACGTAAAATGGGTTGCCTGTGCAGAAATATTCAGGCGTGAACAGATAAAATGAACAGCCTGTACATACTTACTGGTCAAATTTTCCATAGGCGACTGTACATGCAATCATTGCTTAGCAATTCTTGATTAATCTGTGCAGTAAAGTTCAATTTATGCTCGCATTTGGGTGCTTCTCAACAAGATTGTGATTGTAAAATGGAATAAGCTAATTTTATTATTTTGTTACATCATTAACAGCATCATTGGTTAAATATGTACTCAATTAGCACTGCATATGCAGATTTTCAGAGTGTTGCAATAACCCCCTTTATACCCCAGAAGTTTACAATGAGAAACACAACTGACATCACTCTCATCAACGTTGCAGGTGTTCCTTTTGACACGAACTTGGTCTGAAAAAGAATATGTTTAATTATTATTCATTATTTTTTTAAGGTGTTCAAATTTACATTGTTGAATGGGCTCTACCACATGCAACTCCTTTTCTCCCACCGGCAGCGAAATCACTTGGAAGCTGCATATAAAGACAAAAATGGCAACAGCGAAGGCAAGTCCCATATAGCACAAATGTATCCCATGGACTAACCTGGGAGATTTGTGCCGGAATTATGGGATGTCCCTGGGTATTCCCAAATTCTCCTTGGGACATGCCTGGGACATTGGAATGAGACAACTTTAGATCTCCGTATTACATCCCACAGATATTTTCCTTGAACAAAACGAGGACAAAAATAGGATATGGCTTTATTGTTACTGTTGGGTACATGAAACGATTCAATTTTAATTTTTTCTTTAATTAGTAAGTATATATTACAAAAATATTTCATATGAATAATCTAAAAAATAAAATACCTATTTCTATAATAACTGAAATGATTATATATATATATATATATATATAAAAAAAAAAACTATTAACGAATGAATATTTTTTGGTAACACGTATTAATCAAATTTTAATTCTTGATTTCGCATGGCGTAACCAACTTTTAATGGAAGCTTCCACATCCTTCTCTGAACAGTTTTTTGTGGTAACGTTTGCTTGAATTCCACCTTAAAAGACCGACATAACATTACAGATAAAAAGCAAAAACAACAGAGTATATATTACTAACTTGTTAATCCTTTTTGTATATTCAATCCTTCAAAAGCCCGCTTCTGTCGTTTGCCGTTCCATGAGAATTTTGTCGCTAATTCGTCAACCATAACTCTTCTAAGCACCCTCTTCACGCATTCATATATGGACGAACCTCCAATTTTCTGAACAAACAAAGTCTGCAATGTGAAAATTCCATCAAAGTTTAAAAAATATTGACGTTAAAAATTTAAACATACAAATTTTTTGAAATTGTCCTCAATTTGCAAATAGTCCTCAAATTCGTTTAGTGATTGCAAAGTTTGCAAGGGTAATGGTTCATAATTAAAGTCACTTTGGCCTGAGTTCACTTCTTGTGTTTTCCTTAACAGATCTATGATAGTTGTCATGTCACTTTGTATATTGTTGATTTTAAAATTCATGACAGAAAGTTGGTGTCGCAGTCGGTGCAAAAAATCTAAGAATGGATTTAATGATAGACGTAATTATACAAAACTGAAACTCACCATCTGAAGTTTTTTCAATCAGTCTTTGGGATTGTGAAGTAGACGGGGACACTGAAACAAGAACACTACAAAACAACACATTAAAATGCGTGGAACTTACCATCTGTGAGAGTTTCTTTAGAAACAGAAGAAGAAATGTCTGAAATAATCAGAATGGCATAAACAAACGTTACTTTTAAATACTTTACCGTTTTTGTTTAACTCGGAGGAACTTTGTGAGATTGCACTTCTTGGTTCTGACGATGAACAGGCTGAAGAAAACAATGCCTAAAAGGGGTATACTAACAAATGAAACTTACAAGCAAAACGCGTTGGGGCATTGGGCAAAGGTGGGAATGCAGCCTTGGAATAGACGCTAATATCATCATCTTCAGAAGAAGAATCACTATAAATTTTTTTTGGTTTCCGTTTCCTTTTCTTTTGATCTTCAGATTCTGTATTTATATCGGACGTATTTTCTGCGGCACGAGCAGCTGCCCGTGCTTTCAAATAATTGTCTAAAAAAACAATAAGTTAAAATAAGCTTAAACTTCGACAGGTTGTAAATTACCATACACTTTTCCATTGTTTAAAACTCTCACCCCAAATACATGCCAGTTACCATCCGGCTCTTTGCACTTACAGACGTAATTCGACACATCTGGTACTGGAGGCCAGTAGCATTTATCATTGTCAAACATTAACCAACATTTTGGTATTACAGCAAGAGAGTTTTCTTTTTGAAATAATACTACCACCCACATTCTAAAAGTTATGATTGATCAAAAAGTCATCACCACGCATAACAGAAGAAAAACAAAAGAATAGCCCCAGATAATCATAAAATAGTTACGCTGACAAAGTAAATAATACATTTTTCTGTGCGCCATTATTAGGCTTCGATGCATATATTTACGGCATTTTAAATGTTAAATTTCGTTCGTGTTCTGCACAATTTAATATGATTTGATTTTCTTACAAGACGTCTTTCAGGATAAAGAAAAGTCAAAATCCAGTAAACGACTACTTGTGAGATCACACACAAAAAGGGATTAATTGTTTACGCCGTGTAGAAGAGGGACAACGACAAAACTATTGTTATCTAGATTAAATTTAACATATTTTATATCTACATTGGAAATTGGCCAATATTCCAATACCCCCAAACATCGAACTTTAAAAATTCCTACTAATGAAGACTTGCAAGGTTCTAAATAGAAATCACTTACACTTAAAAATTTTCTTCCAATTATGACAACATCTTTTGATGTGTTAGTTGCGAAATTTTCAATTATAATAATATTACCGTCTTTTAAACCACAGCAGTTATCAGGAGCGATAATCTTCAGCTGAAACTTAGGAAAATGAAAGTTACTATATTGGGGAGAATAACATCCATCTATTAAAATGCCCGAAAAGTGCTCTTTCAATTGAACTTTACTTTGGTTTATCCCTGTGCGACAAAGCTGACTAAATGTTTTTATTTCTGAAATTCGGCGTACAATTTGTGAAATCGGATTGTCGTGTTTCCTTACAAGGCGTTTTATAAATTGCATGTAGTTTTCGAAACGAAAAGCGCTAAAGTTGTCTACACTTCCAAATTGCAGAACATCATCAGCTATATGTAATAAATTATGAACATTATGGGATACGTTACATTTTCCATATAAAATCATAAATGTTTCTACAAAATATTTAAGTAAAGAGTCAGCGTAATTAACTCTTTCGTGTGTTAAATTAAATGGGTTTGACAAAATGAACATAGCTGTATGAAGAGACATAAAATTTAACAACATATTTTGTGGTAATATATTTTTCAAAACAACTGGTCCGCTATATAATAAAAATTGCCTAAACTCAGTTGCTTTCCAGCGTTTAACTTCAAGTATAGATCTAGGCTTTCGGCAAAAATCACGAGTAATATTTCTGGACTGTAAAATTAAAGAATTTGACAACTCTGAAATCTGACCAAAAGATAATTTATTTGGTGGTTTCCCATTACACCACAACAGCAATAATTTTTTAACAACACCTAGACAGATAAGATGCATGTAATCTAATGGGAAGCAAGAAATAAGACCAACGTTAGGAATGGTCGTTAAAATAGAAGTATTAATATGGTGTTCTTCTTGTTTCTGTGAAATGAAGTCTTCATCTGTCCGCTTAACAAAAATTATGTCAGGAAAACATAGTTTGTTGTTATCAAATAGGCCCCTTTGACAACATTTACTACATGAATAATAACCTGTATGCCCTTTGGTACATTTTATAAAGGATTTAGCAGGTGCATCACAAATAAAAGCTTTAATATTGAAGTAATATCTTTTTCCCTTAAATTCAAAACCGTGGTTCACCATCATAATGGCTTCATCTACAAAATCTTTTAGAAATAGATTCGAATCTTTGGGTTTTTCATTACCATGATATATACCGATCATTGAAATGTAGTTATTCTGAGGGAAAAGTGATATCAAAATAGGATATAGTTGAGAATTGGAACTTTTTGATAATGGCAACCCATCAATATTAACGCAAATTTCAATTGTTTGTATAGATGGTGGTGGGAGAGACATTTCAAGTAACCATTTAACACCTTCTCCTAAACCAAAGTGATAATATTTTCCTGGATTTACACATTTAAGCAAAGTTTGTCGTGGTGTTCGTAGGAATGTCCTAGAGTCTTGCGGCAAATTAGGCATAACTGGTTTTAAAATTTTTAGTAACTCTTTCAAAGTGTTATGACACACGTTATGAGAAATTGCCCATTCTCTTAAATCGTTAGTAATGTTAGAACAATTGTCCTCAGAAGTTGAATGATTGGATTGTTGATATAAATCTAAACTAGATACCAAAAATGTATTACTCCAATCTGTAAAAGATTCATTACTACTATCATCTAAATCAGATAACTCCCAATAACTAGTGTGAAAAACTGAACAAAATTCAATATTTTCATCGATGTTAGCCGATGTTGATGGTAATGGAATATTTTCGGTAATTTCCAAATTTGTTGCAAGTGCTTGTGCACTTTCATACTGGTTTCTATTTAATGGATTATTGTTCTCAACGACATTATTCTCAGTGCAAGATAGAATAAATGAATTGTACTGTCTCACATGTCGATAAAACGAAGAGCGGGATTTCGGCATAATTTGAGGTTATGTATGCATGTGGGTTATCTATAAATGTACAATATTATCAAATTGCTATCATCTACAATATAAAATAGAATATATATTTACTGAAAATTCTATTACCTGAATTACCACCATCCACTATTAAATATAATCTCTGCCACAAAAACAGCGGCCATATACCAACAACAAACGGAATCACACAGACACAACACACAACCACCACATAACCTCAACCTCAGCGCAATATTGCGCAAACGAGAACAGCAGCAGCGATCACAAGCAGCGATATAACTAGTTCTGTAACACGGCGCCAGGTGACCATTTTAACGCAGTCTGTTCGCTGTGTGGGTTTCCCAGATAATAGTTTCTCACAAAAACACTTTTACATAAGAAATTAAAACTGAAAAAATGTAAGACTTTGATTATTCTAGTATCTTTCGTAAAAGTTGCACGTGAGGAATATGTTTTACAAATAGATCCCAGAATTGCCCCATTGGAATATCCCACCACCATCAAATTGCTACTTCCTTAGGATAATGGCGCTGGGATCTAACTGGGATTCCTAAGCTTGTCCTCAAAGGATCCCAATGGGATAATCCAGCATGGGCACTAACCGGGATGTCCTTCGGACGTAATGTGCTATGTGGGGTGTTAGCTTGTTCATGGTGCTGCACTGTAGATTGCAGTGTTGGTACTATGTACAAGAACTCAAAGACTGCTTTAAAAAGGTAGCAATACGCGAGAGAATATCTTACACGGTTCTTCCCCATCGCCAATCGGAGCAGATAGTACAGTTGACACCTAGTGTTATCAAAGCGTATTTTGTTCACATTTTCAAGTGGTAACATTCGAAAAAAGTTTCGACTATCTTAAATGTGCAAAATACAATGAGTCTATATTTATAATGTATATTAAATTAATATTTTTTAGATGTGCTTATACGAGATGTCCCAAAAAAGTCAACGACTAAGTCAACTGTAAAACTGAAATTGAAATCTTGCAGACGTTTTGAAGTTATCATAAGCATGGTTTTTTTAATCAAAATGTATTTGTTTATCAGTTCCAAAATATTCATGACGTCATCTATCAAAATTTTGCCGCATAAATTTTACCCAAAATATGCATGAATGAGTTAATTTATTACTCACTCTATTTTCCCAGAAAATTTTGGGAATACAATACTGTTATTTTTAGTACTACACTGCACCAATCCAAGTTGACATACGTGTCGTTGCAAAAATGTTGATGACGTCATCACAAAATTGTGTAAAGAAAAACAAGAAAAACTCAACTCAAAAAAGCTGGATATGTTTTATTGTACTTTAGGTGCGCGGGAAGTTCTGTCGAAACAACTTTCGACCAATTTTTTTCAATTAACCAATAACATTATAAACATACAAGATACAGTCATTTTTTTATGTTTGAGTACAATAAATTCTATAAGTGTAGTGTTGTCAGCACTCACTGCAACCAACAAATATTTTCATTTTTTGTTAATTACATAATTGACGTTGTCATATAGCCTGACCTTCACATTACACTGATTTTTTCAGTTTAAATTGTATCAGTTGTTTAGACTGAGATAAAGCATGATTTTATTTATTGTAAAGTCGGTGAACCATAATTCTGATCACAATTACGGTGAAGTCCCTTGTCCACATTGATTACGTCAAGAAAAAAAATCCCACCAAGATACAGAATACTAATTTATAAATCCTCTTTTGTTCAGTAATATATATTAGTATAGTGATAACCGAGGGGTAAACCGCAGAGGAAATCAATTATACACGCTAGAGGAAATCAAAGGAAATCGCAGGAAATCAAAAAAGGAATCAGAGGAAATCAAAGAAAATCAAGAGGAAATCAATGAGAAATTAACGAGAAATCAACAAGAAAACGAAGGAAATCCAAAATCATCATAGCAAATCCAGTTAAACTAGATATTTTCTAGAACTAATAAACGTAACATGTACGACACAAGTCATAGCATTCATCATAAGAAAGAAAATATCAATTTAATCTTAAAATTGGAGATTAAATAACCTTTTAAGAGCATAATGATAGAAAATTCCAGTATAATATCATTAACTGACAGCATGATATTTCAGCTTGACAAATATTAAAGTTGTAGTTAATGAAGTGCAGTTCCGATGAGAAATGATACACTATATTGCTTTATACCTACAAACCAAATTTATAATTTCACCCCAAATTAGTTTTTAAAAATTGAGTTTGTGATATGAGGTACCAAATTCATTAAGTTCAGGTCGTGCAAAAATCTTACTGATGATATGTTCTTGCCTTGGAAGTTTAGCTCTCAAACTTGTGAGAGTATGTTTAGAAGCCTTAGATCAATGACCTCAACTTTTAGCACAATTGTTAATTTTAGTATAAGAGATGTGTTGCATCGAAGTGACAGACTGCAAACTATAAACAACATTAAAAACGATTTGGATAAAAAATTCGTTTTTCCTAGAGAAATCAGGAAAAAGAGTTCAATCATGAAGAGAGATTTTGTGAAAAATGATGACTTGAGAAACATTTCAGATAAAGATATACAAAGCACCGTAGAATCAGCTTTACGGGATTGTCTGCGTGACACTGAAGATTTAGGAATGAAAGTGATAGATTTCAACTATGTATTTTTGCCTCCGTGTAAAGACAATGAATGCAATGACGAAGTTGAAGATGAAATGTTTAGTGAAGAACAATGCGATCACATTGAAAATTACAACAATTCTCAAATAGCCATGAAACGTAGCTGATTTCAAAGTTTGGAAAACGATCCAGTTGACCAAGATGAAGATTTACGGAATGATCTTTGCACAATTTCGTACGAATCTAAGAAATTTTACAGAGACATACACCTTAGAAGTTTTGATAGTGACGATATTTTTGTTGAGAAAGGTGATCTAGTCAGAATACGCTTAGATAATACAACAAAAGTTATAAAAAAGTCTTCACTTTGCTGGCTGTTAGACAATGAAAAGGATCGCGTCAGTGTGGATCGTCTCAAAAGATTTATTCAAAATAAGAAATTTAATAGTAGTAGAGTTAACTCAGAAACAGATACCTGACTTCAACATAAAGATGCATCTCAAATTCAAAAACCAGTCCAAATTGGAAAACAAAAAAGACGCTATAATATATCAAGTGACTCAACTGATTTAGACAACCCAAGTAGTATCGAATATGATGACAGCACGGACACCGAAAGTTTGAATTCTTCCAATTATTCTGATGATTTGAATCCTCGTTTGAATCTCAAGGCTGAAAATAGTAAGACTGATCGTTCTAAACCAGACTTAAATATAGACGATTATATTATAGTACAATTAACAACTCAAAAACAATACAAAAAATGTTACTTTGGTAAAGTGTTTTCACTTAACCCTATTTTTTGTGATTTTTTGAAAAGGAATCCAAAAATTCCGGATGCTTTTGTGTTTCCGGACATTAAAGATCAGGGGGAGATCCAAGAAAATGAATATATAATGAAACGACCTCCACCTCAGGTACTCAGAAGAGGCAGTTTAGTTTTTGAAAAAAAATTATTGAAAAAATATTTTATTTAATTCTAGTTTTTTTTTAAGTGATGTGATTAAAATTTGTTATAATGTAACCTCAACCTGGGTCGAGATTTGTACAAGTATATATCGTAGAGAATACTAAAGTAAGAAACTGTGCAAAATTCTAGGTGCCCATGAACACTTTTAAAGGGGAAAATTACCTCTGAAAATTTATCAAGTGGGGTTATCCACTCCTTTATTGTGCAAAAAAAATTCTTACGTGTTAAATTTTGCATTTCAAAAGTTTTTTTCTAATATGCTTCATTTGAAAGTTGTGAACAAAAAATTAAAAGTGTTATCACCTGTATTTATGGGTAGCTAGAATTTAGCACAGTTTTTTACTTCAACATCATTTACAATGTACATGTACACAAATCTCGACCCAGGTTATGGGGTAAGTATTTTTTAAGAAATTGTTTTATTTTGTGATATTTTGTTATGATCCAACAGAAATGCTTTACTTTTATGTTTAGAGTTACCGTTTTTTTTAACATTTAATAAAATAAATGAAACTACTTGTTTTTTCTGTTTATGCTACCATAATAAATGAATAAACCCAATTTTTAAAAAGTAATGACTTAAGTTATTATTGTAAGTTTGATTTAGTAGGTCAAACTTTAACATGATCTTGTATGCACAATACAGAGATGAACCTAATAGAATGATTTTGGACTATTTGGTGTTCATTAATTACCTCTGTGAACGTATGAGCCACTCGTTGTTGCCTTATGAGTCACTGATAAGTAAAAACTGTTGACGTAACTAAAAATATCCTTGGCCTTATGTACTTTTAATTTCGTAAAGTCAAAAGCAAAATTTCATAATATAATTTATTAAAAAATTAATAAAAATATATCATATAATTTATTAAATCTTTGAGTGATTTAAACGAACTAATTTGTACACACCAGACATTTTTAATTTCAAAATTAAAATAGACCATAAGGTTTTCTGACTGAATGTGCAAAAAATCTAGAATATTGCATATGTCCACTTTTAGAACAAACATTTGACCCAAGAAAGTGTAAAATTCGAACGTATACTTACTCTATTGATTTAGACATCTAAAATCTCGATTTTAGAGTAGTGTTCTTTTTGTAAGTAAAATCAGATTTTTTTTCTTAAACATTTCAGTTTGTTGCTTAGCAGCACAATACATTTTATTTATTTATTGTTTTCGTCTAATGGGAAAGCACTTCAGCTTACCCAGTCACATTACGTTAACACTTGGTAAAAAAAGGTTTAAATTCAACATCATTATCGGCAAAACAAAAAAGTCAAGTTAAAAAAAAGTTAACAATCGCCCTGTAGTACATTATGTAAACGAATTTTGAGGAAATCAAAAGGAAATCATAGGAAATCAAAGGAAATCACAGGAAATCAAAGGAAATCAGAGGAAATCAAAAGAAATCGGGGGAAATCGACACGAAATCATTGTCAACCGTACCATATTGGAAGCGGTCGGTTGTCAGCAGAGGATCAGAAGAAGTACCGTTTGGTTTAAAATAGTTTCATGGGGAATAAAAATGCCAGAGAGCGCAAGGGCACTTTTCCAGTGACAGTGGGATCCCCAAAAATTGCATTTGGTTGTCATTATTACTTTGTTTATTATCACATATCTATACAAACATCATTGTTTTCTATCTACATTTTTACAGTATTCAATAGTAGCAAAAACAATCAACAATCGTTCCTCCATTGCCGTCATGTGAGCAGCTGTTAATAAATTAGTAATATTAGGAATGGATTCCAATTTTTTTCTTAAGTTTCCACCTGCTAAATTGAGCAGTTTTTTCAACGTTGTACTACGTAGACTGGAACATTATTATTATAGTAGGTAATAATGTAACAAATGTCTACAAGATTACTTACACACAACATTGATATAAGGGAGCTAGGATGTCAAGGTGAGATACACTTGGGTTACCAAGTCCTTTACCATTATCTAACAACATAACATTGTCGTATAGCGTCTCATAATGGTGTCTGTCTCCGTTTTGCATTAAAAAATCAAATATGGAAACATCAACCAAATCTAACAATCGACGCTTCGTCAATCTTTCTTTGATGTATCTAAAACGACGAAAACCAACTTAACATCTTAAAACGAATTTGACGATGATAACAATTTTAAATAATTAAATAGCGAAACCTTATAAATTTAATATTATTATTCTTAATGATATCTACGGTTTTGTGAAAGGGATAAACTTAATAAAAAATTATTCAGATTTGATAGTGGAGAGAATAGGGGAAACAAAAGTTCATTTTCACCCATAAAAAATTGTCGTTTTAGTTATTAGTGAATTTTACTAAAATACCGCGTGACTGTTAATGGTTAAGGCAAATTTCTGGGTTGGCAGTTCTGAATTATTGGCAGCAATGTTAGCATGTCAGTTCACACTTATCAATGTTGACAGCTACTGGTAAAAATAGTGTGTCGATAAGGTAATTGAAAAGTTAAAATATGGAAAAGTTGAAAAATTGAGAAATCGAAGCATAAAACAATTAAAAAAATGAAAAATCTGAAGTTAAAAAACGGAAAATTAAAAATCCAAAAACTAAAAAGTCGAGAAATCGAAATATCCGAATCTCGATACATGGAGATCTCAAAAAATTGAAATATTAGGAATATTGAAAAATTTAAACATGGAAAAGTTGAAAAATGGAGAAATTGAAATATTAAACAATCAAAAAATTAAAAAATCGAAAAATCCAGAAGTCGAAAAATCGAAAAGTCGAAGAATCGAAGAACTGAAAAATCGAAACTTTGAGAAGTGGGAAAATCAAAAAAAGGTTAATTGGCAAATCGGAAAACTGAAAAATTTGAAAAATTGAAAATTAGAAATACTGATGAACTGTAAAATAAAAAAATCGGGAAATCGAAAAATCTAAAATTTAAAACATTAAACAATTATATCGCAAAACTGAAGAATCGAGAAATTCAAACATCAAAAAGTAAAAAAATCAAAATTCGAAAATTCAAAATTTAAAAATTGAAAAATTGAAAAATCGGATAACTAAAAAATCGAAACATTGAAAAATTGGAAAATTGAGAAATCCAAAAATCGAAACATCGGAAAATTCAAAAACTGAGATATCGAGAAATCAAAAAATCAGAGGATCGAGAAATTGAGGAGTCGGAAGCTGAAAAGAAAAGTTAAAAATTGAAAAATTGATAAACCGAGAAATTGAACAATCGAAACAACGAAACATCTGAATTCAATAAATCGAGAAATCAAAAAATTGAAAAATCGACAAATTTAAAAAAAGAAAAACTGGAAAATCGAAAATTTAAAAATTCGAAAAATTGGAAAATTGAAATGTAGCACTGAAAACTCGAGAAATCGAAAAACCTAAAATTTTAAAAATTGAAAAGTTAAAATATCAAAAAGTTGAAAAACTGAACAGTAAAAAGTCGAGAAATCGAAAAATCCAGAACTCGAAAAGTCGAAATACTAAAAAATCCCAAAACTCAAATATCGAAAAGTTGAAAAATAGAAAAATAGAAGAATCGAAAAACTAAAAAATCACAAAATTGAACGAAATATCCAAAAATTAGGAAATTAAAAAATTGAGAAACCGACAAATCAAAAAAGCAAAGTCGAAAAATCGCAAACTTAAAAAATCGAAAAATTGAAAAATCAAAAACCTGAAAAATCGAAAAATGGAAGAACCGAAGAACTGAAAGGTGGAAACTTTGGGAAGTGGAGAAATGCGAAAATAAAAAAATAGATTAATTGAGAAATCCGAAAACTGAAAATTCAGAAACATCAAAATTTGAAAAATTAAAAAATATTGAAGAACTGAAAAATCGAAAAATCGAAAATTTAAAATATTGAAAAATTAAAATATCGTAAAATTGAAAAATAGGAAAATCCAAACATCAAAAAATCAAAAAAATAAAAATTCGAAAATGTAAAAATCGAAAAACTGAAAAATCAACGAATCGAGGAATCGAAACTCGAAATTTAAAAAAATTGGAAAATTGTGAAATCGGATAATTCAAAAACCGAGACATCGAGAAATCGAAAAATCAAAAGATCGAAAATCGAGGAGTTGAAAAGTCGAGAAGTCGAAAAATTGAGAAACCGAAAAGTTAAAAATGGAAAAATTGATAAATCGAGAGATCGAACAATCAAAACATCGAAACATCCAAATTTCGATAAATTGAGATCTCAAAAAATAAAAAAATCGAAAATTTAAAAATTCTGAAAACTGGAAACTCGGGAAATCAAAAACCTAAAATTTTAAAAATTGAAAAGTTAAAATATCAAAAAGTTGAAAAACTGGGAAATCGAAGCATAAAACAGTTAAACAATTGAAAAATCCAAAGTTTAAGAAAGGGAAAATTGAAAATCCAAAAAGTAAAAAGTCGAGAAATTGAAAAATCCAGAACTCGAAAAGTCGAAATACAAAAAAATCCCAAAACTCAAATATCGAAAAGTTAAAAATTGAAGAAAAATTGAAGAATCGACAAACTGAAAAAAATCACAAAATTGAACGAAATATCCAAAAATTAGGGAATTAAAAAATTGAGAAACCGAGAAGTCAAAAAAGCAAAGTCGAAAAATCGAAAAATTGAAAAATTAAAAACCTGAAAAATAAAAAAATTGAAGAACTGAAGAACTGAAAGATGTACCCTTTGGGAAGTGGAGAAATGGGAAAATAAAAAAACAGATTCATTGAGAAATCCGAAAACTGAAAATTCAAAAATGTCAAAATTTGAAAAATTAAAAAATATTGAAGAACTGAAAAATCGAAGAATCTAAAATTTAAAACATTGAAAAATTAAGATATCGTAAAATTGAAAAATGGAGAAAAACAAACATCAAAAAATCAAAACAATAAAAATTCGAAAATCTAAAATTTAAAAATCGAAAAACTGAAAAATCAACGAATGGAGGAATCGAAACTCTAATTGGAAATTTGAAAAATTAGATAAATCAAAAATCGAAACATCGAAAAATCGAGAAACTGAAAAGTAAAAAATCCAAAAATCGAAACATCATAAAATTCAAAAGAACGAAAAATCGAGGAGTCGAAAAGTTGAGAAGTCGAAAAATCGAAAAATTGAGAAACCGAAAAAGGCCAAAAGTTAAAAATGGAAAAATTGAAAAATCGAGAGAATGAACAATCAAAACATCGAAACATCCGAATCTCGATAAATCGAGATTTCAAAAAATTGAAAAATCGAAAATTCAAAAATTCGAAAAATTGAAAAATTAAAATATCGAATAGAAACTCGAGAAATCGAAAAATTTAGAAATTTAAAAATTGAAAAATTGAAAAATCTAAAGTTTAAAAACGAAAAACTGAAAATCCAAAAATAAATAATCGAAAAATCCAGAAGTCGAAAAGTCGAAGAATTGAAGAACTGAAAAATCGGAAAACTGAAAATTTAGCAACGTCAAAATTTGAAAAATTGAAAAATAGAAATACTGAAGAACTGAAAAGTTAAAAATGGAAAAATTGATAAATCGAGAGATCGAACAATCAAAACATCGAAACAACCAAATTTCGATGAGATCTCAAAAAATTGAAAAATCGAAAATTTAAAAATTCAGAAAATTGAAAAACAAAACTGGAAGCTCGAAAAATCGAAAAACCTAAAATTTTAAAAATTGAAAAGTCAAAATATCGAAAAGTTGAAAAACTGAGAAATCGAAGCATAAAACAGTTAAAAAATTGAAAAATCTAAAGTTTAAAAAACGGAAATTTGAAAATCCAAAAAGTCAAAAGTCGAGAAATCGAAAAATCCATAACTCGAAAAGCCAAAATACAAAAAAATCCCAAAATTCAAATATCGAAAAATTGAAAAATAGAAGAAAAATTGAAGAATCGAAAAACTAAAAAATCACAAAATTGAACGAAATAACCAAAATTAGGAAATTAAAAAATTGAGAAATCAAAAAGTCAAAAAGCAAAGTCAAAAAATCGCAAACTTAAAAAATCGAAAAATTGAAAAATCAAAAACCTGAAAAATCGAAAAATTGAAGAACCGAAGAACTGAAAGATGGAAACTTTGGGAAGTGGAGAAATGGGAAAATAAAAAAATAGATTAATTGAAAAATCCGAAAACTGAAAATTCAGAAATGTCAATTTTTGAAAAATTAAAAAATATTGAAGAACTGTAAAAAATCGAAAAATCTAAAATTTAAAAATCGAAAAACTGAAAGATCAACGAATGGAGAAATCCAAAACTCGATATTTTAAAAAATTTGAAAATTGAAAAATCGGATAATTCAAAAGTCGAAACATCAAAAAGTCGAGAAATCGAAAAATGAAAACATCGTAAAATTCAAAAACTGAGACACTGAGAAATCGAAAAATCAAAAGATCGAAAAATCGAAGAGTCGAAAAGTCGAGAAATCGAAAAATCGAAAAATTGAGAAACCGAAAAAGGCCAAAATCGAAAAGTTAATAATGGAAAAATTGATAAATCGAGAGACTGAACAATCCAAAACATCGAAATATCCGAATCTCGATACATCGAGATTTCAAAAAATTGAAAAATCGAAAATTTAAAAATTCGAAAAATTTAAAAATCTGGAAATTTAAAAATTGAAAAATTAAAATATGGAAAAGTTGAAAAATTGAGAAATTGACATATGAAACAATCGAAAAATTGAAAAATTTAAAGTTTAAAAAACTGAAAACTGAAAATCTAAAAATAAAAAATCGAAAATTCCAGAAGTCGAAAAATCGAAATATTGAAGAATTTCAAAACTGAAACAAATATCCAAAAATTGAGGAATTAAAAAATTGGAAAATTGGGAAATCGAAAAACCAATAAAGCGAAGTCGAAAAATCGAAGAATTGAAGAACTGAAAAATCGAAACTTTGAGAAGTGGGAAAATCAAAAATAGATTAATTGAGAAATCGGAAAACTAAAAATTTAGCAACGTCAAAATTTGAAAAATTGAAAAATAGAAATAGTGAAGAACTGAAAAATCAAAAAATCGGGAATTCGAAAAATCTAAAATTTTACAATCAATATATCACATAATTGAAAAATCAAAAAATTAAAATTGGAAAATTTAAAAATCGAGAAATTGAACAATCGGTTAATTGAAAAATCGAAACATCAAAAAAATGGGAAAATCGAAAAATTACAAAATAAATTGTAAAATCGAAAAATTAAAAAATAAATTCGAAAATCGAAAATTTAAATATTCCGAAAATTGAAATATAGAACAACTGAAAACTCGAGAAGTCGAAAAACTGGAAATTTTAAAAATTGAAAAGTTAAAAATATGGAAAAGTTGAAAAATTGGGAAATCGAAGCATAAAACAGCTAAAAAATTGAAAAATCTAAAGTTTAAAAAACGGAAAATTGACAATCTAAAAAGTCAAAAGTCGAGAAATCGAAAAATCTAGAACTCGAAAAGTCAAAACACAAAAAAATCCCAAAACTCAAATAACGAAAAATTGAAAAATTGGAAAATAGAAAAATAGAAGAATCGAAAAACTAAAAAATCACAAAATTGAACGAAATCTCCAAAAATTAGGAAATTAAAAAATTGAGAAACCGACAAATCAAAAAAGCAAAGTCGAAAAATTGCAAACTTAAAAAATCGAAAAATTGAAAAATCAAAAACCTGAAAAATCGAAAAATTGAAGAACCGAAGAACTGAAAGATGGAAACTTTGGGAAGCGGAGAAATGCGAAAATAAAAAAATTGATTAATTGAGAAATCCGAAAACTGAAAATTCAGAAATGTCAAAATTTGAAAAATCAAAAAGATAAAAATTGAAAAATCTAAAATTTAAAAATCTAAAAACTGAAAAATCAACGAATCGAGGAATCGAAACTCGAAAATTGAAAAAATTGGAAAATTGAAAAATTGGATAAATCAAAAATCGAAACATCAAAAAATCGAGAAACCGAAAAGTAAAAAATCGAAAAATCAAAACATCGTAAAATTCAAAAATTGAGATATTGAGAAATAGAAAAATCAAAAAATCGAAAAATCGAGGAGTCGAAAAGTCGAGAAGTCGAAAAGTCGAGAAACCGAAATAGGCCAAAATCGAAAAATCGAAAAGTTGAAAATGGAAACATTGATAAATCGAGAGGTTGAACAATCAAAACATCGAAACATTCGAATCTCGATAAATCGAGATATCAAAAATTTGAAAAATCGAAAATTTGAAAAATAGAACTGGGAACTCTAGAAGTCGAAAAATCTAGAAATTTAAAAATTGAAAAATTAAATGTGGAAAAGTTGAAAGATTGAGAAATCAGTGTATAAAACAGTCGAAAAATTAAAATATCCAAAGTTTAAAAAACTAAAAATTAAAAATTCGAACAGTAAAAAGTCAAGAAATCTAAATATCCAGAATTAGAAAAATCGAAAAGTCGAGATACTAAAAGATTCGAAAAACTGAAAAATCACAAAATTGAACGAAATATTAAAAAATTAAGAAGTAAAAAATCGAAAAATTGAAAAATCAAAAACTTGAAAAATCGAAAGACGGAAACTTTGGGAAGTCAAGAAATGGAAAAATCAAAAAATAGATTAATTGAGAAATCGGAAATCCGAAAATTCTGAAACGTCAAAATTTGACAAAAGTAAAAAATGTTAAATTGAAAAATCAAAAAACCAAAAAAATTAAAATTGAAAAATCTAAAATTTAAAAATCGAAAAACTGAAAAATCAACAAATCGAAAAATCGAAACTCGAAAATTAAAAAAATTGTAAAATTCAAAAATCGAATAATACAAAAATCGAAAAGCTGAAATATAAAAATTCGAAAAACCGAAACATCGAAAAATTCAAAAACTGAGACATCGAGAAATCGAAAAATCGAGAAGTGGAAAAATCGAAAAATTGAGAAACCGAAATAGGCCAAAATCGAAAAATCGAAAAGTTGGCTAAAAATGAAAAAAGTGATAAATCGAGAGATTGAATAATAAAAACATCGAAACATCCGAATCTCAATAAATCGAGATTTCAAAAAATTGAAAAATCGAAAATTTAAAAATTCGGAAAATTGAAAAATTAAAATATGGAAAAATTGAAATATAAAACAATCGAAAAATTGAAGAATCTAAAGTTCAGAAAACGAAAAACTGAAAATTAGAGATGTGCCGACTGCAGTCGGCCGACTAGTCGGCTTTGTCAAAACCGGTTAAAATTAGTTTAATCGACCGAAAATTGGTGTCAAAGTGTAGATAATCTTCCGCTAGTTACGATTCTGAAATCGCCGTCACGATATATGGTCCAATAAACACGCAAAGCGCATTTAAAATTTCCAAAAATTTTCCAAAAAAGTGGTTAAAATTGGTTAAGTATTGTATAAACTGCCCTAAATTGTGTTATTCTTTATTTTTGTACTGAGTTACTACAAAAAATTAAATGTTAAAATTATCCAAAAAAATTTAACACATTTTTTGGAAAAAAAAGAAACTTCAGTCATTCCTTTTATTAAAATAAAACAAGTTTTTAAGGTAGTCAGAGAAATAGAAAAAAAAACACTGTCTGTTGCATTTATAAACAGTCGGCCGACTGTAGTCGGTACATCTCTACTGAAAATCCAAAAATAAAAAATCGAAAAATCCAGAAGTCGAAAAATCGAAATATTGAAAAATTTCGAAACTGAAAAAAATATCCAAAAATTGAGGAATTAAAAAATTGAACAACTGAGAAATCGAAAAACTAAAAAAGCAAAGTAGAAAAATCGTAAGCTTAAAAAATCGAAATTTGAAGAAGTGAAATTAAATTAATTTTTCCCCTATTAACCCACAACCACAAATACAGTTGGCAACATTGTAGACGTGATAAAAATGAATTTACCCACTAATCATAAATTTTACCATTAACTTTAAACGAATTTCACGTAGTTTTGTCCTATTTGAGCCATTGAACCGCGACGTCCATGAAGGGATTCAATATACAAACTATACTAACTTGCAATAACCGTCATCTTCTTCCCACGCGGCTTTTTTGTTCTTCTTGTACGTCCTCTGCCACGGCGATCTGTAGCTTTTGAAAGACACGTCTACATTAAATATCACAGCTCCATAAACAGTAAAATTTACGTCTTCACATACAGGGTCCTGTTTCTTACAATAAAAACATTTGCCGTAAATACACGTCCTGTTATTAAATTCAAAACTACTATTGATTAGACGTTTCGTAGCCACAGGTACTATGTCTTGCGTAAAAGACACAGCACGATCAACACTGCAAGGTGTAAAAGGCATATTTAAAATAACCGACAAATAAAAAGCCACAATTTCGGAATTATATCTATCCTTCCCGGCATAAACTGGTCCTTCAATAACTGTACTTACGTCGTACCATTTTGGCTTAAAAACGACGCTTTGTTGACCCTACAAACTGTTAACTTGTAAATTCAGAAGTAGGTACACAAAATTTAACTTACTGTTAATGTTAGTAGCAACTTCAGCTGCGTCCCTCGAGTATCTAAGTCAGCCTTAATGATTTTCGAGTTCTTCATTGCCTTAAGTACACTACCAATAAATGGACTTTCCAAATCAGTCAACTGATTTTCTGATACCCAGGAGTTAGCAACTTGCCACAACTTCGTGATATCATTTTCTACGACAGGCGTTCGTATATTCTGGACAAATTTATCAAAAATATCTTTCTCGACGGACTTTGGGACTTGTTTCGGTAAAACTTTCAAATATTGATATATCTTCTCATGTATCGTTATAACCTCACTTTGTGAAGATGCTAATTTCGTTAGTAAATAATTCGTAGAACAGATAAAAGTTATTATTAATAAAACACTGATAATCAACAACTTTCTTTTTCGTATCATTTAAAACAAAATAATAATATTTATTACAAACACGGCGTGTTATCTTCCGCACGAACATAACCTCTCAAACATAGTTTTTGTTTAAGTGTATGTCCAGAAAAATGAGCAACTTGCGTAGATTCATAGGTGAGAATGTAAACAATTTTTGAATATATCTACAGGAGCACCAATTTGTAGATATTGGGGCCAATTTGACGGATTTAATGTATATGGGTATGTACAATAATTCCGCAAAACATGAGGCAGATTTGGAGCAAGTTCTAAAAAGGAGTTGGGATGCTGGTTTGAAAAAAATAATAATTACAGGGGGGAATTTGGTGGAGAGTGAAAAGGCACTCAATATTGCCAAAACTGATGGTTTGTATACCTAACCTATAATAATATAAAATTTCAGTAAAATATTTGTGTTCATTACAGAAAGACTGTTCACTACAGTAGGTTGTCATCCCACCAGATGTTTAGAATTTGAAGAAAATCCTACAAAATATTTGTCAGACTTGAAAGAGACCGTTCAAAAAGGCGCAGGAAAAGTAGTAGCAATTGGCGAATGTGGATTAGACTATGATCGATTGCAATTTTGTCCTAAAGAAATTCAAAAGAAGTATTTAATTTGGTAGACAGGAAGTGCGCCATTAATTGTTTCGTTTCAGATATTTTGAACTACAATTAGACTTAAGTAAAAGTTTTAATCTACCATTGTTTCTTCACTGCAGAAATGCAGCTGAAGATTTGATAGAAATCCTACACAAACATCCAGGTTTGCATGGAGTTGTACATTCTTTTGATGGTACAATCAAAGAAGCAGAGCAATTTATGGAAATGAACTTTTTTATTGGGTTAAATGGATGGTAAGCTATTTGTATTATCCGTTCACGATCTTTATATAGTAGGGTTGGCCATGAAAATCTAGTGAGTTTGTTGGTATTCAGTGCAGAAGAATAAAAATTCCCTGAACTTTTTTCGTTAGGTTATGTTTTATTAAATTAAAGGCTAAAAAAATATGTAGCAATGACCAAGTTAACGGTATCTATTTCTTAGAAAGCATAAAACTTTACGCTATTTAAAACAGTTATTCGGCTTTTTGTAAGTGTTTATTGAAAAATTTATAAATCGAGAAATTGAACAACTAAAAATTAAACAATTTAAAAATCGAAGGATTGGAAAAGCAAAAAATCTAAACTGAGAACTTGAAAAATCGAATAATCGAAAAATCAAAACATCAAGGAAAACAAAAAAATTAACGGAAAATCTAGAACTTAAAAATTGAAAAATTAAAATACCCATCGAAAAATTGAAAAACCGAGAAATCGAAACATCAAAAAATGGAGACATTGAAGAACCGAAACATTGCAAAATCCCAGAACTGAAATACTGAAAAACTGAAAAATTGAAGGAAAATTGAAGAATCGAAAAAGTGAAAAAATTCAAAACTGAAATCTTGAAAAACTGAAAAATGGAAGGAAAATTAAAGAATCGGAAAAGTGAAAAAATCCAAAACTGAAACATTGAAAAATTCAGTAATCGAAAAATTGAAAAATCACATTTAAAGAAAGAATTGAAAAATGGAGAAATGGAGAAACGGGAAAATAAAAAAATTAGTTAATCGAAAAATTTAGAAATCGTAAAACTAAAACATTGGAAAATTGATAAATCGAAATCGAGCAAAACTGAAGTATCGTAAAATTAATAAATTGAAAAATTAAAATTAAAAAAAAAAAAATCGTATCAAAAACTAGAAATTCAAAAAACCGAGAAATTGAACAATCAAAAAATCAAAACATTGAAATCCCAGAAAGTTGATAAATTGGAAAATTTAAAAAACAAAAATTTTAAAAATCCAAGAATTGAACAACAAAAAAAATCTAAGCTTGAAAACTCAGAAAATCGAATGCTCGAGAACTCAAAACATCAAAGAAAACAAAAAATCTAAAATTTAAAAATTCGACAAATTAAAAAATCATGGACTCAAAAATCGAAAAATCGAGATGGTGAGAAATCTAAAAACCTAAAACTTTAAAAACTGAAAAATTAAAATATCGAAAAATTTAAAAACCGAGAAAACACAATATCAAAAATTTGAAAATTTGAAGAAACGAAATATTGCAAAATTCCAAAGCTGAAATATTGAAAAACCTAAAAATGGATGGAAAATAATTTCTTTAATTTTCAATATTTTGATTTTACAATACATATTTCTTTTTTTTTATTTTTCACTTTTTCGAATTTTAAGTTTTTCAATTTTTAATCTTTCGATTTTTCAAATTTTCGTTTCTTCAAATTTTCATGTTTGATCTTCACTTTTGACATTTTTCAAGTTTTCATCACAAACTTTTTCGTTTTTTTATTTTTCAATTTTTCAGTTCCTTGACTTCTAAATTTTTCAATTTTTCGATTTGCAATTATTTAATTTTACAATTTTGCGATATTCCAGCTTCGCATTTTTCGATTTTTCACATTCTCAGTTTTTAATTTTTTTTAATTTCCATTTTCTCGATTTTATGTCAGAAATTTTCATTTTTTTCCATTCCTTTATTTTTTGTTGTTTCTTTCGATTTTTCAATTTTTCGTTTCTTCAGTTTTTCGAATTTTCAGTTTCTCAATTTTTCGTTTCCAGAATTTTTCATGTTCCCGATTTTTATTTTTCAATGTGGCGAATTTTTCATTTTTATTTTCTGGATTTATACCACAATTGTCCAGTTTTTCATTTCCTTTACTTTCTGTGTTTTTTTCTCGATTTTACAATTTATCGTTTGTTCAAATTTTCAGACTTTGAATTTTCAATTTTTAAATTTTTCACTTTGCAGTCTTTGGATTTCCAGTCTTCCGATTTTCCAATTTATTTAAGTTTAAATATTTCTATTTCACAATACATATTTCTTTTTTTTTTATTTTTCACATTTTCGATTCTTAAAATTTTTGAGGTTTTCATTTTGTAATTTTTTGTTTTTTATTTTTGATTTTTCAATTTTACAATATCTCGACTTCCAAAATTTTCAATTTTCCAGTTTACATCAGTTTTTCAATTTGGCAATTTTTCAATATTACAGATTTTGATTTTTCGATTTTTCAGTTTCTCAATTTTTAAATTTTCCCTTTTCCAATTTTTTGTTTCCGATTTTTATTTTTCATTTTCCCGATTTTTTAATTTTCACGTTTTCGATTTTATATCACAATTTTCCTTTTTTTTGATTTCAAATTTTCAGATTTTTAGAAATTTTTCTTCAAATTTTCAAATTTGATTTTCACTTTGTACATTTTTCAAGTTTTTATTATACACTTTTTCGTTTTTTTATTTTTGATTTTTCAACTTTACAATTTGTTGACTTCCAAATTTTCCAATTTTTCAATGTTACAATTTCTCATTTTTCCATTTTTCACATTCTCGATTTTTAATTGTCCCCTCAATTTTTCAACTCCCCGATTTTTATTTTCCATTTTCCTGATTTTTTATTTTTCATTTTCTCGATTTTATATCACAATTTTTTGTTTTTTCATTTCCTTAATTTTTGTTGTTTCTTTCGATTTTCCAATTTTTGGTTTATTCAATTTTTCAAATTTTCAGGCCAATCGATTCCAATTCGTCGATTTTCCAATTTTTGAATTTTTCAGTTTGCAGTTTTTGGGTTTCCACCCCTTTTTTACTTTTTGGATTTTCAATTTTTCGTTAAACTTTAGATTTCTCAAATTTTCGACAGTTTTATACTTCGATTTCTTAATTTTTTTTCAACTTTTCGATGTTTTAATTTTTCTTTTTTAAAATTTTTCAATTTTTTTATTTCTCGATTTATCGAATTCAGATGTTTGGATGTTTTGATTGTTCAATTTCTCAATTTTTTCTATTTCTCGATGTTTCGATTTTTGGATTTCTCGATTTTTCGATTTTCCAATTTTTCGATGTTTCGCTTTTTCAGTTATCCGATTTTTCAATTTTTTTAAATTCTGGAGTTTCGATTTGTCGATTTTTCAGTTTTTCGATTTTTAAGTTTTAGATTTTCGAATTTTTCTTTTTGATTCTTTGATGTTAGAATTTCTTCATTTTTCAATTTTGCGATATTTCAATTGTTTTATGTTTATGTTTTAAATTGTAGATTTTTCGATTTCTGGATTTTTTGATTTTCCAGTTCTTCAGTATTTCTATTTTTCAATTTTTTGAGAATTCGATTTATCGAGATTCGGATGTTTCGATGTTTTGATTGTCCCAGTTTTTAAATTTTTCGGTGTTTCGATTTTTCGTTTTTTTACTTTTCGACTTTTCGATTTTTGAATTTTCCAATTTTTAAAATTTTCAAGTTTTAACGTTTCTGAATTTTCAGTTTTCCGATTTCTCAATTGATCTATTTTTCGATTTGCAATTTTTTAATTTTGAAATTTTTCGATATTACAATTTCTCATTTTTCGATTTTTCGCATTCTCAGTTTTTAATTTTTGTCATTTTCAATTTTTCCTTTCCTCAATTTTTCAAGTTTTCGATTTTTATTTTTCATTTCCCGATTTTTTTAATTTTCATTTCATCGATTGTATGTCAGAAAATTTCATTTTTTCAATTCCTTTATTTTTTGTTGTTTTTTTCGATTTTTCAATTTTTCGTTTCTTCAATTTTTCGAATTTTCACTTTCTCAATTTTTCGTTACCAGAATTTTTCATGTTCCCGATTTGTATTTTTCAGTGTGGCGAATTTTTAATTTTTATTTTCTCGATTTATATCACAATTGTCCGGTTTTTCATTTCCTTTATTTTCAGTGTTTTTTTTTTCGATTTTACAATTTTTCATTTGTTATATTTTTCAAATTTTCAGGCTTTGAATTTTCAGTTCGTCCATTTTTCAATTTTAAAATTTTTCACTTTGCAGTTTTTGGATTTCCAGTCTTCCGATTTTCCAATTTCTTTAATTTTAAATATTTCTATTTCATAACGAATATTTCTTTTCTTTTTTTGATTTTTCACTTTTTCGATTCTTAAGATTTTTCAAGTTTTCATTTTGTAATTTTTCGTTTTTTATTTTTGATTTTTCAATATTACAATTTCTCGACTTCCAAAATTTTCAATTTTTCGGTTTGCATCAGTTTTTCAATTTGGCAATTTTTCAATATTACAGATTTTCATTTTTCGATTTTTCAGTTTCTCAATTTTTAATTTGTCCCTTTTCCAATTTTTTGTTTCCGATTTTTATTTTTCATTTTCCCGATTTTTTAATTTTCACTTTTTCGGTTTAATATCACAATTTTCCTTCTTTTGATTTCCTTTATTTTTTGTTGTTTCTTTTGATTTCGCAATTTTTCCTTTATTAAATTTTTCAAATTTTCAGGTTTTTAGCAATTTTTCTTCAAATTTTCAAGTTTGATCACTTTGTTCATTTTTCAAGTTTTTATTGTACACTTTTTCGTTTTTTTTTTTTTTCAATTTTACAATCTCTCATTTTTCCATTTTTCACATTCTCGATTTTTAATTGTGCTTTTTTTCAATTTTCCGTCCCCTCAATTTTTCAACTCGCCGATTTTTATTTTGCATTGTCCTGATTTTTTATTTTTCATTTTCTCGATTTTAAATCACAATTTTTTGTTTTTTCATTTCCTTAATTTTTGTTGTTCCTTTCGCTTTTCCAATTTTTCGTTTATTCAATTTTTCAAATTTTTTGTTTATTCAATTTTTCAAATTTTCAGGCCAATGGATTCCAATTCGTCGATTTTCCAATTTTTAAATTTTTCAGTTTGCAGTTTTTGGATTTCCACCCATTTTTTACATTTTGGATTTTCAATTTTTCGTTAAACTTTAGATTTCTGAAATGTTCGACAGTTTTATACTTCGATTTCTTAATTTGTTTTCAACTTTTCGATGTTTTAATTTTTCT